GGGGGGGGCATTTTTTACGTACTTCCTTCACTAGTTCCGGTTTACAAGTCTCACTCTGGTGAAACCTGTGAACTCTTGTGAAGCTGGAGCAAGCTCGTCAAGCCATCATGGTAAAACCTGTCAACTCGAGAAGAGGCTGTCTAGATAGGTCGACACGTCGATGGGAAGTAGCAAAAGTGCAAAATGCCCCCCCGTCACCGAACTGCGCCCCAAGCGGATGTTATATTCGTATTCAGGGGGTCAAACTACCCCAGGAGACAACATTTGAGCCAAATCTGTCCACGGAGAAAAAAGTCGGTCAAAAACTGGCTCAATGCGGATGGTTGGGACAGTAAAGGGTAAATAGTGCCTAAAGACCTCCCTCGCACTTTCCCCACTGGTTCACATGGGACATTGGGGAAGTGGTTACGCGCAATTTTTCGATATGACACCCTGCCCAATCCGATTACATCGAGCTTGATACGATCAGCCGTTACGATAACACCTTTTAGGCCGAATCTGGATCCTAGCTGTAGTTATGTTCCACGGCATGCGCACTTTTTCGGTTTTACGTAAAGAACTGGGAAATGGGGCTGTTCGCTGTACGAGAACGATCCAAAACACCTTGATCACTTCGACATCCCCTAAGGCATCCCGACGCAGCGATGACAGGATGAAGTTTCCAGAATTAATCGATCCTTTTCTGGCATGCGCCATGCGTTCTGCTATCATCCAGAATAGATCTGGCGTAGCTGTATGATATGGTCACGTAAGGATCCACTAGATGATCCATCTATTAACCAATGTTTTCATCGTCCCAGCTAAACGTCCTCTTTTTTCTTCAGACTACTGTGGCGGAGAAAACAAGAAAAGTCAACAACCGAGAACATTTCCTCAGGCCAAATACGACACCCACGCAAGGTATCCCTAACGTATGATGTGCCTGAATACCAGTGCTTCTTCTACCGTATTCAGTCGCTCACTGCTGCCCAGTGTAATATCCTAGCTCCAGCGCGTGCCCCCCTACTGCCATACAGATAGGTGGTGTTCAATGATAGGCTGTTGGCCAAGCTAGACTTTCTTGCAGACTTCCGCCGCTACCATGAATTTTCACATCTGAAACCTGGTCACGTTCCCACTAACCCTTACAGTGTATCACAGAAGTATACAGTAAACTATCGATCAGTTA